CCAAAATTGAATTGTGCATACCTAAAGAAATACCAAACCCTGAAAAATTTAGAAGGCAGACATCCTTTCCCAATAAGTTTTGTGTATGTGTGGGATTCTGTTTGTGTGACTGAAATAAGAGCCACTGAAGTCCTCGCTGAGAGAAAGAAGGACCCCACTCACTATGAGGACATTTACGCAGGACCAGGACAAGCTGTCACAGATGTTACTAAGAGACCCTTAACCCTTATAAGAATTAGAAGAGCATAATTGATCTAAAGACTTTCCCAACTCTATCAATTTAGACTGTTAAGTAAGACCAAACCAAACTATCATATTCACACCACCTGTTCTTTTCTTTTATCTTTACTCTAGAAATAAACAGGAAGGCAAAAACTAAATGTTTCCTACAACGCAAATCTTAAAATTTAAAAACTCTTGTTAGTAATTAAACTTACTGTATATACTCGAGTATAAGCTGACCCAATTATCAGCGAGGCACCTAATTTTATCACAAAAACTACATAAAAACGTGCTGAATAAACTCGGCTTAAACACAAGTACATACGATATATTGCAGCACCATGCTAGCTTTTATAATAGCAACTAAAGAATGAGATGTGCATGTGACTTGGATGGAAAATAGTACCAAATGTATTAAAATATACTTTGCATTCTTTGCTTTTACTGAAAACAACCTTCCCCCAAACCATTTGTATGTTAACTTGCTCCCACGAAATCCTTAATGAATACTGCCTCAAAAGGCAAAATGTTAACGTTATTTCTTTCTCATAGAAAACTTGGCAGAAGGACAAGACTCTAAGTATATAAAAAAAGAACTTAATACTTTCTTTAAAAGTATTTTACCTTTAGAAATAGTTAAAGCAGGAGACCACTGTGATCTTAGAATATCGAGACAAATGCTGCCATTACTGTTAATATTTGGATGATAAATTCTTGTTGTAAATGCAACCTAAAATAAATAAAATCAAGCATTCAGAAAACCTTTTAGGGCAAGGCTGAAAATAATTAAGATACAATTTAAGACAACCAAATGGCTAGTGCCTAATTTGTACATTAAAAAAAAAAAAGTTCAAAAATGACAGAATCTGGCCTTTAAAAATCAAACCAAAACCAACCTGTCATTGAGTCAATTCCAAACTCATAGCGACCCTACAAGGCAGGGTAGAACAGCCTCTGTGGGGCACGAGACTAACACTTTATAGAAGTAGAAATCCTCACCTTTCCCCTGGCAGGCTTTTAAAAATTAAAATGCAAAGAATGACTTTGGGGCAAAGATTTCCTATTAGATGTGAAGTTACCTGTGGCTTTACCATATGGAGAGCTAAAGAGTAATTTGAAGGGCATTTAAATACAGGGTGACTTGACCAGCACAGTTTATTAACTTAAATGTAGCATGCTTTTTAACCTTTGCTCTTAACATAATATGTACATTTGAATTCAGTAAGTCTCTGGGGTACATATGTCCAATTTACAGATGAGATATCCTTTTAATGTAGGGCTTCCAACTGGTTCTGACCATGACATATGAAGCAAAACAGGCATAAAATTAAATTTATACAATTTAGGTGATCTTACCCGGTTTAAGAGGAACAAGAAAATTTAAAGAGTCAAGGCTGAGAGGTACAGTAATCCTTCCAACAGCCTGATGTAGATAGCTGGGTTTTTGGCAAGGCTGGAAAGCCACACACAAACATTCAAAGTGGCATGGTCAAGTGTCCTCTTTGATCAAGAGTAATACTATTTTTCAAAGCAATGTTTTATTGACTTACTTTCAAAGGATCAGAAACACAAAAACAAAACCTCTCCATCACAATGACCTTCACCTTATCTACATGCTACTCATACCACTGAGTACCAAGCCTTTTCTTGCACTAACCCCCAAACCAAATCTGACATCACTGAATGGATTCTAACTCATAAGAGGTTTCCAAAATTGTGGATCTTTAAAGAACAGACA